GAGCTACGCTCAGGAAATTTTTACAAATGATTTATTACAGTAAATGCCAGAACCTTATTTAAATTAAATATGATCGGGATACTGATTTTGGTAGCTGCCATACAACTTCAAAATTTATTTGGCTGTCTCGGAAACTATAAAAGCTGTGCTATTAAAATTTCACACAAACGAATATATTAGTAGGGCTAAAGTGTTTGTTAAAAGTCGTTGAAATTGCTTGCTTCTTTCTGGTAGCAGACATACAATTTAGCCATATCTTAGAAAATATTCAAAACACAGTACTGAAATTTTGTATAAATTAATATTGTAATACGACAACTTAAGGTCATAGTCTGTCCCATAATCAGTTATGACAAATTTATTCGCACACAGGATACTAAATTCGTACGAGTGTCACAGAGTTGACACGGTCAACCCTATTTTTTATCGTTTTGTTATAATAGTCCAGGCACCAGCTGACGTAATAATGTACTCGTATACTGAATCAATTTTTGGAGATTTTGAAAAATTGTTTTTTCTACTATACTTGTATGGTCAAATCAATTACCATTTGCTTTCGAATTCCATTGGTAAGGAAAAATAGTAAATATGTACTGTTTTTTAAAAATGTTTCAACTATGACATAATTCATTTATTTTTTTTATTGAAACTTATAATTCTCCTTGCCTGCGCTTTAATTAAGTGAAAAAGTGAAATAGCTTAATATTTCATATGGCACCATTAAAATGATATTCAATTATATTTACATAAATTTAAAATTTAACAACAATTTATTTAACGCAAGTAGCTTAAATACTAACCTTCTGCCTAGTGGGAATACTAACCACATAAGCTAAAGGTAGTTAGCCGCTATTACAATAGTCCTATAATAGTTATACGAAACTGATGGTTATGCAAAAATAAGTAGCACATACAATTTTTAGTGATTTTTCGGGAACCTTTCTTCTAACACACTGATTTTATTATTGCTGCATTGCAAAAATAATGGAAAAAGAAAATTTTTTGCCAAAAAGCCTACATTTCTAATTGTTTTAAAATTTATTTCCCAATATTTTAATAATAATTTTTGTAGTAATTTTAAAAACTTCAATTAAAATAAACTCAACAATCTAAATTTCATTTGATTTTCCCCAACCTTTGTGGATTTATGGCTGTATGTTGAGGTAGACAATTTAAAATGCAGTAATAAAAATAATAGTTACCTTAATAATAGAAAAATTTGTTTCAAAATTATTTGTATTCTATGAGTCTAATTTTTTAATAACAGTTTTATTTGTTAATTTTACAACTTTAAAATTGTCTCTACTTAAAAAATATCAAAATTGTCTAGACAATAGAATATTATTATAAATACAGTTATTTGTTAATTAAACTTTCAATTAAAAATATACAAAATGTGAATACCGGAAAAAAAGGATACATGCGTATTGTATTGGAATTTATTTAACCATTTATTCATGTTTTAAATTTAACTATTATTATTTTGTATTTACTCATTATGTGTATGTATGAAAAGAGGAAATATTAAGGGTAAATACAATATTATAATTTTGGACTTAAATCAATGCTACACGAAAAAATATACATTTATGTCTCAAGTTCCTGGTCTGAATATACGCAATGCTCAATATTATATAGCTCACAAAATTAAACAATATCATTTAGTTTTAATATACTCGTATATAGGGCATAATTAAATATATCAGCTGACAACCGACGCAAATTTTTAAGCAAACGTTCAGTTTAATTCAATTTTTACAAATTCAGTTTAATTCAACGCCACAAGGATTTAAGATCTTACAGAATTATATATAGATAACCAAGGTGGAAGTGAATCAGAAAACTATGCATTAAAACTATGCAATAGCTTTACGATTCAAAAGGATAAATTAATCCTTTGCACCTTTTTTATTACCTTTCCCTAGCCTGAACTAGAATCTGTAAGTTAGTTTTAGAACACAGTACAGAATTTTCTGTTTACATATTTATGATTAAAATATTATGGGCCACGGGCCCTAGTAAATGGATTACTAGTATTTATTCTATTGATTTGACTGCAAAGTGCTTAAAAAATCCTAAAAATATTTTTATTTTGCAAAAAAAAACATTTTCATTTAACAGATGCTTAGGTATTTGCCCCTCCTTGTTCCTCGAGGTTTCTTTTGTAACATATTTAAATAAAATAGTTCACAAAATTATACCAAATCTTCTTCCCTACAATATTTTACGTAATTTAAATGAAAATTTCAAAAATATGTGTTTGAACAATTTATAAGATTTTTGAATCTAAGAGTAGGCGTAAATAAATGAATTTTGTATTACATCAGAATACTCGTAATTTCTAAAAATCTAAATTAACAAAAATAATAGCCTGTAACTTGAAAATTGCAATAACACCAGATTTATTACACAATTCAGCAACCTATAATTCGTTAGCTGAATTAACTCAATTTCATATTAAAAGAAACTATGAATAATTTCTTTTGTAATACGAGTATACAAAAACCGTATATTAAGAAAGAACTCCACCCCACACTCTTTTACATTTTTCTTTTTTCTCAAGGAAACTCAGAGAAATATCCGAATTGAAATAATTTGAAATTCTAAAATTTTATAAAAGAAACTTACCAAGTCGCATATCATCAAAATCAAATTTTTTATTTTTTTACATTTTTACACTCTTAATTTTATTGTCGTTTAGAAATTTTTAGATCCTAGAGGCATTACAATAAAATTAACATAAAATGTAATGAACTTATATAAGTAAAAATTTTATTGAGCCTAATATTATTGTGTTAACGTCAATAAAATTAGTTACTTATATTGTTGTATGGTTTTCTTTAACAAATATAACAAGCTTTGAATAAATTACAAAAATTTTATTGCCATTTTTTTTTCTTTTTTTTTTATTATTATTTCGTTTTACACGCAAGAATGCCAATATCTGTCTGCCGAAATAAAATCGATCAATGAATTATTTAAGAAAATTTTATAATATCCTTATCTTTATTTTTATCAAAGAATTGAATATACCTACATAGATATATATATATATATATAAATATATATAAAGAGTGTCCGAGGCTAAGTGGTATTTCCGAAGTAGGGTAATAGAACGTTTTCAGAAAAACAAGAAACACCTAGTAACATTTTTATTTTTGGGCCTTTGTTATTGAGTTATGGGGCCTCAAAATTGGATTATGCGAAAACCGTCTAATTTTCACATTTTTATTTATAACTTGGGAAACTTAAGAGGTAAATTCAATATTTCTATACTCATTTTAATGCTAATAAAATTTCCCTTCTAACAGTATGCCAGTGATTCCAAAGATTTTTTTTAGTTACAGAGATATTTATGAGCAAAAACAAAATTTTTTAAAAAATTTACTCATAATTTCGCTTTACTAACCTATCGATTTTTTACAGGAAGAAGAGCCCTGTATTCTTCATTTTGATATAACAAAATGTGGGAAAATTTATATAAATAATATGCCTATCAGGCGAAAAACTGCACCTTTCCAATTTTGAAGCTGTATAACTCGAGAACAAGGGCCCAAAAATTTAAATGTCACTAGGTGTTTTTTGTTCGTCTGATATAATTCTATCACCCTGTTTCGGGAATACCATTGGGGCTCGGACACCCTATATATATATACATCTCTCTTATATAAATATAAGTTTATATGTTTGTGTGTATTTAAAAAATATTCCATTAGGAATTACCATAAATGTTTGCTCTTTTATTTTTATTCTTATTTTTGTGTTAACGCTTTCGTATTCTCATTGTTATATAATTAATTCTACATTTTAGTATAATTTTATTTATTAATCTTCTGATTTAAAAGCAATTTTACTAAAAATAAAATGTTTTTGATAGCTTGTTTTCTTTATCATAATTATTATCGTTTGTTATCGTTCTCTTCTCTGGTATCCTTAAAATATGCAAGAAATTCTTTTCTTTTATATTATAAGTATGAGAGAAACAAATTATTATAAATAAATTTTTGATTATTAAATTTTAATATTCTTATACTATTGAAGAATAAACATGCACACATATTTTATATAACTGTATACAAAATATATATATAGGCGTCATTATGAATTTTGTGCAGGCATTCTATAAAATGGAAGGAGAAGGAAAATATTAAATGCGTTAAATTGGATTATTCTTATACCACTGATTTTAATTTCCGATAATAATCGAAAAGAATATTGTAAAAATATTAAATATAATTTTATTGATTTCAAATTAAATTTTAATACAGAAAATTTTCCATGGTCAGCATATAAATGATAGTAATTTTATTAATTTTCTGAATAGTGTTAACGAAATTTAAGAATTCAATTGTTATTAGTGTAGAAAAGAAGTTATTGATGATAAAAGTCTGTACATTTTACAGTCCCATAAAAGCTGATCAATTCTACAAAGTAAATCAATAAAGATTAATCAATTCCACCAATTGAACTACATATCTTTGTTGTGATTATTAAATATTGATTTTTGGAAAATCTTTCGTAACTTGGAAACACACCCAGATAGAATATTATAAGATTTATAAAAATTGTTGCTTTCATTTAATTTCACATTATTATTATTTAAATAAATAGTTTACTTGCCAAATTTTCAAAATTGTTTCTGCAGCTAATTGGATTTCATTGTTTTGACATTTTAATCATGAATTTTTAATCTTCAACAATTAATTCACTAGCAGTATTTCATTAAAGATCTCCTAAGATTAGTGCAAGTCTATGATTGTCTGATCTTATATAAAATGAACTTGTAAAAATGATATGAAGGGTTCCTAAAATCGATTATAACATGCTTCGGAAATACAAAATTAAAAAAAAAACAATATCGAATTTATTAGATACTTAGGAATTCTGGATAACTGAAAAATTTTTACGAAGTAGTCTACTTTATTATAGTTATTTATTTTATTATTTTACAAAAATTTTTTTAATTAATTACAATTTTATTTTCTTATTAATCTTTTCAGAAAATATTTGGCGAACTGAATTAGATTTCATATCAACAAGTCGTGATCGTTTAGTCGTACTATCATTTATGACATCACCATATCAGAACATATCAAATGATTATAATGAAACTGATGATTTTTCATTTTTAGATGAAAATTTACCAACAAATAATTATAATGTCACCGAAAATTCATTTCGGAATTCACCAATTTTTGATTTACCAAATGTACATGAAATACAATTCAAATATAATTCCGAAAATAATAATGATGATATTGATAACATTAATAATAACGAAAATGATGATAATATTGATAATATTAATGGAAATGATGATGGTGATGATGATACAAATGATGATTATGAAAATCCAAATATTGTTAATCCCTACGATGAAGATGAAATGGATATTGAAACAATTAATATTTCATCATCACGATCATCATTGAAACCTTCAATGCAACCAACAGGTAAACCATCAAAAACATATAAAGAAATAATGACAACAATACCAACAACACCAAAATCATATACAACAACACAAAACTTAATGGAACTAACAACAATAATTGATGATCTTCAATCAACAATGTCATCAATTCCGTATCCAACAATTTCACCAAATCATAATCGTTTATCATCACCAAGTTCGATACGTAAAACAAATCGTAAAATTAATAAAAATGGTAAGAAAACTCATCACAATCATAATCATCATCATCACCATCATCATCATCATAAAAATCGACATGATGATCGAAATCATAAATCATCATCAGCAGCATCATTCTCATCATCATCTAGATCAGAAGAATTTGATCGTAGTTTAGAAATTAAACCTGACAAAATTGATTTTAATCAATTCAATGAAGAAATGTCAACGGTTTTTGATATGAGTCAAAATAATAAAATGGATGGACCAACACCAACTATGCCAATAAGAATATATAGTAAAGAATATAGCTCTAGAGAATTGTCAGGTACAAAAAGAGCACATCATTCAAATAAATCAATACATTCAACTTCATTATCACCAACTGCTTTATCATCCAAAGAAAACATAATACAAAATTTTAAAACAGAACAGCAAAATTTCGATACGATTAGTACAATTGATCCAGCAACTGTTACAACAACCAATTCAAAAATTATTGAAATTAAAAAGAAAATTATAAAACGTATGATCGATGAAGAATTACAAGTTGAAATTGAACCAGAATATTTAATTTCATCATTACAAAATGTCTCAACGACACCAAAATCTCAAGAGGTTATCTTTCGTTTGGCTGGTTTTGCTGGAATGTTACAAAATTTATTTGGTGTTGAAAAAGAAATTGATGTTCAAGTATTTAATCAACCACCTAGTATGGAATTTATTAATTTTGTAATAGCATTAATTGTCTGGTCAATAAGATATCCAGCAGTATTTTGGACAACAACAAAACCATTTTCAGCTATATTTAGTTTACATATGATTATTGCAACTATTGATATAATATTTGGATATACGGGAACATCAAATTTATATAAATTACAAATTGTTAGTGAAGCTCTACCAATACAAAATCCTGGCTTAATATTAAATGGAATTGTAACATTATCATTGTACTTATTATCAACAATACTATTACTGTCGTCATCATTGGTATTATATTTATATGGACATGGTAGATTAGCTGCACGTATGCGTGATCGATCAATGATAACAATGAAATCAAATGAATCATGGATTTATTTTTCACATTGTGCATCATTATGTTTAGTATTGGCTTTAGCTGTTGTTAAAGCACCACTACTTAATGATTTAAGTGCAACATATCGTTATAATTTGCATTGTCCAACATTTTTATCAGGTAAGAATTAAATAAGGAATCCCTATAAAAATACTTATGGCAAATACATTATGGATATACAAAATATTTTTCAAATAAATTTTTCAAATGGAAAGGTTTTTAATCAAAATATTGTAAAATAAACCCTTTCTAGAACTTGAAATATTTCTAGAATTTCAAATATTTCTCAATACAATTATAATGAGACTTTACGGACATATTTTGTATATTTTTTCTGTAAATGACTAAAATAGCAAATCATATTAAGTTAAGATTTTTATTTCTTTTATTGTCAAAACATCCGTCTGGGATGAAGATTTAAATTAAGATTTAAATTAATTTAAAAACTTCTTCAAACCCTGAAGAAGTTTTTAAATTAATTTAAAATTAATTTAAATCAATAGTATCGTAAATCTTACAGTTGAACCTTGATATAAGGGACATCCCGTAATATTTAATTCCTGCACGGATAAACCAAGTTAGCGCGGAGGTAATAGTTGGTCTGTAGGACCAGTTTATCCGTTCAGAGTTTAGGTGACTTTTTAGGGTAGGAGTCACGCTCCCCCACTGTCGGAGGAAAAAGGCAGATAGAGCCGTCCTTCTTCGTCTTTCGAGATTTTTTCACCTAGTAGAAAAAAAAAATCTCTAAAACAATTTCTACTTTTTTCAATTTATTTTAATAATATTTTTTTTTTATTTTTATTCTTTAACAGCTTTAATATCTGTTGTACAATTATTATTGTGGATTGTAATTTGGTTAGGACTAACAGCAAAACGAAGATGGACATTTAAATTACCACCTATACAACATTATGGATTAACAAAAGGTGCTACACAACCACTATTAATAGCTACACGTGGATTAAATCCAAGTGTTGATAGTGATGGTGGTGGTACAAAAAATGGTGATAATAATGGTATTGGTGGAGGTGCTATTAGCACTACATCAAGTACTGACGGTGTCGAAGATATTTATTGGCCTAAATTAACACCAAGTTCTCCAAAATTAAAAGTGACATTTAATGAAGTAACCAGTACGTCAGATGATGTTCTGTTAATCAGTGAACAAGATGGCAAGCGGTAAACAAAAGAAGAAAGAAAAAAAAAGAGAATTTTTTTTTAAACAAAAAACTGGTTTTTGCGCATTTTAAATTCATTTTTTTGTTTTGTTGGTTTTTGAAATTTTTTTTATGTCATTTTGACATTTGGTTTAATTGTTTTTTTTTTTTTGTTGCTTTTGAGATACGAAAATTTGATAACATTTTGTAAATTGTTTTTTTTTTTGTTTTTTAATTAATTTCTTGATTGCACAATTCTATTTGGAAAAAAAAAATTCGATTTCAACTTTTTTTTTGTTGATTGTGTTAAAATCGCAATTTAATTTTTTCCGTCATTTGTTTTTGTTTTATTTGTTTATTTGTGTACTTAAATCGATTAATCGAATCACTTAAACGTCAGCGTGTATTCAAATTGTGTTTTATATAAGAAAAAAAAAGAGTAGTTCATTTGCACACATTAATAGTCTTTTTTTTTTTTTGAGTGTACTTTTAGTTTTTTTTTCTTTTGTACTTAAAAAATTTTTATTAATATTTAAAAGTGTGTGTTTTTCAACAATATTTAAAGGAAAAACGTAACGTAAATAATTTACGGGTGGTTTTGAATATAATTTGCATTCATTTTTACTGATTTTTTTTTAAATTACAATTAAATTAAAAAATTATCCAAAATTATTAAGAATATTTTTTAAAGTGAATAATATTATTTACATTACAATTGAGCTAATGCTAAAAAACTAAACATTTCGTATAACTAAAATATAATTTCAATAAAAACAATCCCATTCAAAAATTCAATAATCTTAATATTGGGATTTCTATTGAATTCTTAGTAATTAAATAGCAAATATTTCACACTTTCTGAACCACAAATTAATTTCACTTTGTGTCACTTCAATCGAAGTGTCATATAATCTCACACAATCTTACACATATCTGATATTAAATTGTACGTAAAGCAAATATGTATGGCATTATTTGAAATTAACTTCAATACCTAATACTTTCTCATTTTATTGCCTTTAACCATAATTTAGGTTTCGTTCTCTATCATATTGATGGAAATCAGAAAGTGCAAACAATCTGATTTTATTCAAATGTGGTTTCTTATTCGAGAATATTAATTTTTATTTACTGTTAGAGATACACTTAAACCTTAATCGAAATAAGAAGAATAATAATTTTGGATGATTTATTTAAAACACGTTTACACTTACAGTCAGACTTTTAAAAACATGAAAATCAAATTATCATTAAATAAGTACATTTATAAATTATTGTACATAATATAAGTAAACAATTGTACACGCACACACATACATGCAATTATTGTATAGAAATATAAAATTTAATTTATTGAAAATTCTTAACTAATAATTATTATTATTGTGACAAATGAATAAGAAATTTTTAGAGAAAAATAGCAAATTTAATTCACAATATTTATCACATTCACAAAATTATGACAGCACTCTAAGAATAAACTATGTACATATATACATATATATAAATTTTTAAACTAAACAAATGTCATATTGAATTTTTTTGTACAGATATAACATTTCAAATTATTTTAATTAGAATTTTCAATTTGTAACTATACAAACCAAAAATATGAAAGTAAAATATATGTAATTAATTTTAGATTGTCACAATGCACATAATATTCTAAAATATTAATATAATTAGTGTGTCAGTGATATTATTGAAAATTAAAAAAAAATGTATAATAAGTATTAAAAGGACACCTGTTTTAAATTATAATTACAAGAGACACGATGCAAAAATATTTTCGAAGAAACCAAATTTAAAAATATATTTATTTTATTAATCCGACTCTATGGCTAAAATAGTATGGTTGATACATACAATAGACGTCAGAAATGTTGATATTTCAAAAAAGATCTTAAATTGCTTTCCTTGGTATACAAATTAGTCGCGGTTACTCTGAAATCCGAATGTTATGACAGTTACGAGTATTCCGAATCTAATCAAGATTAAATTAAATAATAATTAAATGAGAAATTCTCAAATTTAATATGAGATTTGCTCTTCTTCTGAGCTAATATTTGCATTTTGACATACGGTACTGACAACTCATAACAATAAAACAACAACAAAATTTTTTATTTTTTGTGTTTTTTTTAAATTAATCTAGAAAATTAACAAAATTCAAAAAAAAAAATTGGTACCAGTATAAAGAAAAAAGTTTTTTGTTCCGCTTGTCGATTGTTTGAATGTTTATGCCTATATCTATACTCTTCTCATTTTTAATTTTCAATGTAAAAAGAAATTGTGGTAGATTTTTATAAGTTTTTGTATTTGTTTTTTCCTTTTTGTGTTTTTGTAAATTTTTTTAGAAATTTCTAGTCCTCTTTTTTCTTAAAAATCAAAAACTAAAAATTATAAAACTAATCAATCTATTTTTTTCATTTAACTTTCTCTTCTCTCTTTTTTTTCTCATATTGAAAAAAAAAAAAATTTAAATATTATCAAAAAATTATTAAAAATGCAAAATAATAGCCATACGAGCCGTGGAACCACGTTATGTATTACCAGTATTACGAGGGAAATTGATGACGGAGACTATGCCACATTAAGAAGTGGCCCAACACAAAATGGCAGCGGTGATGAACATCATACATTAACAAAAAAACCAATACGTCCAATTGGTGGTAGCATATTACATTTAAGTGAATATGATGAATTACCACCACCACCAGCTGGATTATTAAAGCCACCATCAAATAATGGTAGTACCGGTGATCTATTAGATGATAATACATCAGAAGAAGGTAAATTATTAGCATGTGTACGTGATGATAGTGTTACATATGCATCAACAAGAGATTTAGAACCACCACAACCGCCGCCTAAACCACCATCAACAATGAGATCTCCGTTAGCCCAACAGGAAAATATGAATTTACCACCTTCACCATCAGAACCAGAATATTTACATATGCAACATCAACAACAACAACAGCAACAGCAACAACAAATTCATCATCAACAATCCCAACAACAGTATCATAATACACAACAATTACAACAACAACATCAACAGCAACTTCAACAACAACATCATAATGATATACAACAAAAACAACAGCAATTAGTTAGCCCTCTAGCACCAGTTACAGTAACTGTGCATACTAATGAAGCACATGTAAGTATCTTAATAAAAATGGAAACATACGATAATGACATGACTAAATAGAAAATGAAAAGCAAAGTTTTTATCCAATCATCTGGAAATTAATTGTTTTATATTGTAAAAAATGAGATCTGAAATTAATCATTTGTGTTTTAAAAAATGTTCGAATGAATTGTCAAGAACTGTTCTATGTTATACAAGTTGCATGTCTGGTTTTAATTCATTGGAAACGGATAAGCAAAAAAATTAAAAAAAACAGTTTAATAGAATAAAATATTTCAAGCACATTTCTAACAAATTTGCTCTTTAATCTGTCCATCCATTTACAAATTTCTGTACAGTGTTCACGATAAAAAAAAAATTTAATGGAAAAACTATTTCTATAGAACAAAAATTTTATATCTTCCCCCTTTTAATTCAAGTTTTGGCTGTTGTGAGCAAAAAATTCTGATTTTGAATTGACAACAATGTCAAAATGATTCCTTCTTTCTTTTTCTTCTTGAAAAAAATCATACCTACTAAATTCGGCTCTTTAAAGTTATTGGAAATCAGTTCCTATATCTTCTTATTTTCTTAATTAGACTTGTTTTAAAATTTCTAAACGAATCCAATCCAATATCAACATTAAGAGCTTTTAAATAAAATTTTGTTTGAATTATTTAATTATAAAATCGAAATGTGCTGTTTTTTTTTACAAAACATGAATTTAATCGACTGCATTTTTAATGAACACTTCTTTTAATGTAATCTATTAATTAAGATATGAACTGCATAGAAAAAATTCATTGCTATCCTTCGAATTTATTAGCACTTTTCCAAAAATTTTTTTGAAAAAAGTGCTTATTAGTTTCACTCTGTCCGTCCGTCCGTCCGTCCGTGACACTTTTTTTGTTTACAAAACTTCTACATCCTTGAAGATAGAAAGCTGAAATTTCATACGTACATAGATCTTCACTAGAAACTTATTTCCGTAGAACAAAATTTTTACCTATCTCCCCCCCCCCCCCCCCCCCCCCCCCCCCTCTAGAAGTTATACCAACCCAAAACCCTAAAAATGGCCTTTTTTAAATATTTGTTGCAATGAAACCATAAGCATTTTCGAAATTTCTCAAACGCAGAAAGGCAGTGGCTTGCTTCCCCTAGCGCGTTATACTATAGTTAAACTTTAGAAAAACAAAATGGCCGTTCAAATTTACCGTTATCTAAAGTCCTTTTTTGCCAAATTTTCGATCTCGTTTTTCTTCTAGACCCCATACTGTAGAACTTTGAAATTTTAGGAGCTTTTAGACATTAACAAAGAGTTCATTTCGTTAGAAGAAAATTTTTTTTCATCTCCACCCCCTCTCAAGTTATCGCCTCTTGAAATTCGTAAAATTTGAATTTTTGACACCTTATATTTCCGAAACCGCAAGCTTTTTCAAATTTTTATAAAAGCAGAAAGCTAACGATAAATTCCATGAAATTATAAAATATAATTACTTTTCTTAACTCACACAATTAACCCTTAAAATCGAGCATTATGTTAACCCCTCTTTATATTAATTTTTTGCTTTATTTCAAAGATCGCATGTATGCATCATCCTAAATATATGCAATCTCAAAAATAGCTTTGAATATGAATGAAAATAAATTTTAATAGTGTGATAGGTATACATAGAGAGTATTTAAAAGTAGAATTTTCACTTGTTGAAGGGAAAAGTGCTACAATACAAACCATTGGTTTGACCCAACTTTATTCTTTATATTTTCAGTATGTTAAAGGAATAAGTGTTTAAACAAACGTAAAAATGTGATAAAGAAAATAAGTAAAACTGATTATTTGTTCACCATCCAAAAGAATTTAAAAAAACCATTTTGAACTGCTTTGCTTTTGGGTTATAATTCATAGCTTTAAAAGTATGTAAGATTCAATATGATACAATTTGATATTAAATCTGAAACAACAATTGAACAATAATATTGAGTTGATAATTTGTAAAGCGGGTTACCATAAGATACTTAAATCTAGTTATATGACACTAGACTTTATATTTTGGTCTTAGACAGTTTTTATATTTTAATTGTATTCATTGTAAATTTAAAAAATTTTTTATATCTAATTTTATTTACAGATTACAAATAGTTCCACACCTCGTTGTCTGAGACGTGCCGATTCTGGTGTACCAAATGAAGCACTTACACCACGTAGCGATACAACTTCAACAACAGAAAGTTTAACAACAACATCACCACCAGAACGTGCACCATCCGATTCGTCGAGTGGTGTACATTCTGGTGAGGAACGTGAAGAAGTTGTTATCCGTCCACGTGTTGTATGTAAACCACCAGCAAAATTACCACAACCGGCAATCGAAGAAGAACCATATGGTCGTTCAACAAATATGAGAATGTCAAGTTTTAATAATACTGATATAATAAATGGTTGCAATAATAGTACTAGTAGTAATAATAGTAAATCAACTAGTATTTTAATGAGTAATAGTATTAATAATAATATAACAAATAATCAATGTAGTGCAACATTACCCTTACCACAACGTACATTACCGTCATCAGAACAACGTGTTGATTATTCACATTGTAGTACAATGCCATTACCAATGGCTTGTCATCAACAGCAACAACAACAGCAACAACAACAGCAACCATCCTATAAATCAACATTTTATTCACCATCAGTTTTAATGACAACCTCATCATCAGCAACAAGTAGTCCAACTAATTCAATGGGTAGTAATAATTTAATTAATAGTGGACAAAATAAACAAATAGGTCAACCACATCATACAACATTACCAAATGGTGTTCGATATTCAAATCCACATTTTCTTAAACGTTTACCACATGTTATTAAAGGTGAATCACCATATGGTCATTTAGGTTTTGGTTCAGGTCATCATACATTTTCAAAATTATTACAAGATCCTTTACATAGTTTAGCTGGTACATCAATACCAGAAGATAGAGATTCAGCAAATTATTCAATGTCATCTGAACCTGAATGTGGAGTTTATATGAATGCTCATCAAATTAACTGAGATAGAATGAAAAGCTCAACTCATGTATCATCCTCAGTTTCAAAGCAAATGCATGGTGTCGGGTTTTGTTATTGAAAACTAAATACTATTTATATATACATATACTTATATATAGAAAATGATTTATTTAATGAATATAACAATGAAGAAATCCTATATATTATATACAAGGAAATGTCTTTAACAAAGAGAATGAACTGTACATGTAAGTGAGATAAAACAAAATTTATTAAAATTTTTATTTTGATTTTATTAATAATTCAATTAACGCACAAAGGCAATAATTTTTTATGAAAAGAAATTGAAACAGTTTAAAAATTTCATTTAAATATTGAGTAATTCAAAATTTAGTTTTAATTCAATCTTTAAAAAGTATCAAGTTGCTATCTCTTAAGCTATCCGTTGCTTCAAAATTGCAGTAATGCCGTTTTGATTCATAATTCAGCTCATGAATATTAATTGCTGAATTGTACTTTAATCACGGAATTTTCATAAAATTTTGAAAGGTTGGATAAAAAAATATTATTTAAGTTCAATTCAGCAATTCACATATAAGCTGAATTTGTTTTTAAATCTAACGATTGCAAATTTTCCATTTTAAATAACAGTATTTTAATAGACTGTGTTGACAATATTCATACAAATATTTTGTTTCTCTTTTTCTAAAATAAAAAAAATGAGAAAACCTTTCATATTTAATTTCTTTTTCTTTTTTTAAAAAATCAATAAAACAAGCAACTGCGAACTCAAAATTATATGTAGTTGAGCGGTATTTGTACACAATTCAGCAATTACAAGTTGTAAGCTGAATTGTGTATTAATACCGTACTATTGACTCCTTGAAGTCATGGAAAATAATTCCAAACTTAAATTATAAAAATCTGTGTTAAATTTACTTTTCTATAACAAAATTCTGGGATTTAACATTAAAAAATCAAAATACTAATTAAAAAATCTAAATTAATTATTCAAAAAAAAAAGAAAAATAAAATTACATAAATTATTATCTTTAAATAACAAAAAAAAAATGAATACTTTTTCAAACGTTTCTGCTTTCGGCTAATCTTTATACAGAAGAAAAAAAATGTATTTGCTCTAACGCAATGTTTATATAAAACCAAAAACAAAAGATTATTATAATATAATAGTGCATATATACATACTTACATAATATATATTTATGTACATTTATAAATGTGTTTCATAATAATTCTACATTTATATTTCAATGATGAAGTTTTTGATGTTTTATTAAATATTCATAAACATTTAATTACATATACACTGACATCTGAATTTCAATAATATTATGTTACAACATAATTCAGCCGACAAGTGCTAACTGCTGAATGATGTAGTGAAACAGTACTACTGCAATTCTGATGTGAGAAATAATGCAAATATATAATATAAGCACATGGTATTCTAAACGTAATAATTTATTTTATATTCTTAAATTGATTAATATCTTAATATAGTTAAACTCAATTAAGAAATTTGTTTTTTTTTTTTTAACTGAATTCTGTGATTCGAAGATAAGCTGAATAGGGTTTATTAATAGTAATAACGCCGGTTTGGAACACATATTCAATTCAATTCAATTCAATAGAAGAATATTCTTAATTAAAAGTAAAATTTCAAATTTCTAGAGTACTAGAACTTATTATTAATAATACATGGAGAATAATCCAAAAACAGAAACTATGCCAATAATTTTTAGTTGAAAGAACTGAAATTTGAATTAAAATATTTTTGTTCATTCTTGTAGAAATATTTGAAACTCAGGCTACAAATGCTAATTATTCAATAATGTATTAATGTAGTAGGTATGCTGTCATAAATTAGTTTTCACGTTCTTGTTAGTTAACGTAAAATCTTCTATATTTTGAAATTTTTTCCAATTTTCTATTAATTCAATTAAAATTGTATAATTGAATAACTCAGCGTAAAGTAAGATCTTCTGACTCAAAAATTGCAACACTACATTTTTCAAATATAATTCAGTTTACGAATTTTAATTGTTGAATTGCTGAGTAATATAGTATTATTGATAGATGTAATTATAGGTAGATGAAATTGTAATTCGACTCCTTCGTAAGCTAAATTATCTTGACTTCGAAATTGTAGTAATACTGTATTATAGCAATACATTTTTCAGCCTTTGATTTGTAAGTGCTAAATTGTGTATTTATTCCGTACTACTAAAATTTTGAGGTCAGGCCAACTACTTTTATGTGCAAAACATTAAATTACTCATAACTATGTGTTTATATCTATACATATTTACATTATATTAAAAATTCATAAATTTATTTTTTAAATAAATGCTATATGAATGTAAATTTGAAAAAAAAAAACAAAAACAGAACTTATATATTATATAAATAATTGAAATTTAATTTTAAAAATTAAAATAATAGAAAACAAAGAAGAAACAATAATAAAAATACATAGAGACTGAAAGTAAATAATATACGGTGAGCATCAAAATCTTTTTTGAACAAAAAAAAATATTAATTAAATAAAAAAATAATAATATTTAATTAATAATAAAATAACAATTTACAAAATTATTTTCAATTACAATATTAAAATAAACTTTCATCTTAATAATGAATTTTTGCTATAAATATCACGTCAAATATTAAAAAAACAATGAAATTGCACCATTAACTATCAAAATTAGCACTGACCAAAAAAAAAAACAAAATTTTTATACCCAATAGTTTGATCCATAACATATATTGGATTAAAAGAATCCTTGTATATCACACCTCTTTTATATACACGCAAACACACACAAAAATATGAGCATTTTCTTCTATCAGTATAATACTAATCTAGCTGCTTATGCTAACTTGAAATTTCCATTGTGCATTTATTCTGTATTTCGAATATTTTCATTAAAACTTTAAAATCATTTGCATAACAACCTGCAAAAAAGACGCCTAAGCCAGAAATAGTAGCTGTCGGATTTGTCAATTTATTTTTATGTAGAGCATTTAGGGCTCAGACAGACATGCAATATTTAGTTTTATAATTGTAGATGTAATTGCTGCTTGATTGTAGAAATCTAAGCAACTAAAATATTACAAATTGTTTGATTGCTTAATTCCATGCGATCATACAGTTGCATGTGCGGGCGTGTAAAATCTTGAATAAAAATCTATGGAATACAAATTAGAGCAATCAAGTAGAAGCAAAACTAAAAATTTTATGTGTATCTGAGCTTTTTTGCTTGATTTTGAACGATTTGTTGTTTAATTTTTTACTTTATTAAGAAATTATGTTACTATGTTCTATAAGACTTATAATCAAATTTTCGAGATTATAGCATTTTTTTCTAAAAAAATACACTTAATAATTTTGTGACTTTAAATAATTTCAGAAATGAGTTTGCAAAAAAAAAGATTTTTGAACTATGACTTAGGGCACAGATTTTGTCACTACTATTTTTGAAGTTGTTGAAATTTTTTTTTCTAAAATTAGGCACCAATGAAATTTTACAACACCCTGCATTAAAAATGTATAAAAAATTAAAATTGAAGCGAAACATTTCGTAATATGAAAATCATTTGTTTTAGCTTACGAGTAATTTAAATCTCTAAATATTATTCAAGCTCATTCAGTAACTCAAAATCAACCCGAAGTTTATTATATTCAGCTTATACCATTTACTAGATTTGTAAAAAAATAATTCAAGAAATCTTGTTGCTTAAAATTTATTTTTTCTATATTTTTTTTTTTTTTTTATAAAATAATACCACCGCCACTTTACGCTTACCTCCACGCATGCAATACAAACAATATATGTATATAGTTTTTGAAAGGAAATTTTTAGGATATTTTTCATAAATAATTTCCTTTTAATAATTTACTTAGCTTCTCTTAATTTTGTTAGTAATTGATTCATTTTGTGCACCCCCGCCTATATAAAAAAAACCTATAATAAAACTTTATAACAAATCATTAATAATAAAGAATCCTTCCATATAAAACAAATAAAAATTAAAGCTCAATATTATAAAGTTAAAAACAACCATAATATAAAAAATTAATAAAATGATTTTTGATGCTTTATAAATAGTCTGCAAGTAAAATAATTAAAATGAAATAAAAAAAAATATTTTTGGATCTCTAAACCAGACACAAATTACATAAATTAAATTTATAATTGTGACAAAATAAGATAATAATTTATTCAAGAAAAAAATAAAAAATATTATTAAATATAAATATAGAAAGGCAGGTAAAAATAAATTCAGATAGAAAATAAAATGGAGACGAAAATTGTAATAAAAAATTAATTAATTAAATAAATTTAAAAAAATAAAATAAATAAATAAATTTTTCTACAATTAAACAAAAAAACCAAATCAAGTAAAAACTAAAATTAATAATAAAAATAAATTTAAAAAAAAAAGAAAAATTAAGGAAAACTTTTATACAGTATTAATGTTTAATGTTAATTAATTAAAATAAAAATAATGAGAATAAATGTATAAAAATTACATATTGTCGATAATAATTTTTACAAAATATAGAAAACATAGATAATCTTCATAAATTGTTTAGGTGTCTTCAATTTAAAAATAATTTCATTAAAAGTTTTTGAACAATTCAATCAGTATTTTTTGTTAAAATGTCGGTTCCATCTAGAAAAAATGAAAGAATTTAATGATAATGAAAATTTTATTTTAAATTTCTAAATCGTCACCATAATAATAATTTGATCCATAGTGCATTTTCTTGACTTTATGAAAAACGACATTGAAAAAAAGAAAAAACCTTCTGGGTTTCTGAATATCTAATAAATTTTAATAAAAAATAAATAAGAGCGCGTTTTATAATCCTCAAATGAAGTGTTAAATAATAAAGAGGGAGAGTGACGTATGGTTCAAAACATTTTTTAGGTGACGAAATTTTGAACTTGCTTATCAAAAATGACAATGGGGATAAGATAATCAAAAAGATATTAAAGAAATAATTAGAGTAATGTTGTTTATTTTATTAGTTCACAATGAGCCCTATCATGAATTCCAATATTAGATGCCAAATTCGGAAAATTATGAATACCATATCCTCAATTCCGAAATACTAAAATTCTACTACAAATATTCGTAATAGAATAATCATAAATTACGTTCATACTAAAAATAACCCTCAATAGTCTACGAAAGAAATATTCACACGTTGTTGTTTTAAAATTTTTTATTTAAATTTGAGTTCTTCCAAAACGTAGCTCCCATGAATTCACCATGAATTTTAAAAGATATTATTTAGCATGAAAATTTTCGTACTCAACTTGCAACAAAAAACATAAATAAACATTGGACAGTTGAAATATAATACTGATTTTGACACTCCGAAACATTGTGTTGCTATTTGTGATTCATAATCTCTATGAAAGGAATTTGTGACCATTTAAGCGTCGACGTCGTAGCTAAATTCGTAATTCGTAGATTTCTACGAGAGGAATTCATGATAGGGTTGAATAATTCGAATATATATGGGTAAATGTCGTCATTCCGTCATTTCGTAAATAACTTTAGGACATTAATTTAATATGTAATTTTTTTTCTGGAATTCTTCATTGTGTCCATGACAAAAACTCTTCATTTTTCCACTTTTGTACCATTCAAATATAATTTTATAAATTATTTTTCCTGATATTAAAACGAATGGAAACTTGAACGCCCCCTGCAAAATTTTAGCAAAATCAATACTTTTAATGAATTATTTAAATTTTATAAAGTTGATCTCCTGCATTCATTCATAATATTGTTATTCAAATACATAATTATAGTTATTATAAATTCCGGCTTCAAGTTTTTATTTGTAAATTAGTGATTTGTAAATTTGGACTTTCAAATTAAATTGTTGAATTTTATTTAATTGTAATTAATTATTATTAACATTTCTTATTTCATAGAAACTTTAATATTTATTGACTCCTATATATAATTAAAAGAAATCTCTGCATAATCAGTAATTAAAAATTGCAACTAAGGCAACAAAAATTTTATGTTTAATTATAATATTTAATTTATGTATACCTAGGTATACTGCTATTTATAAAATTGATAAAAATCTTAGAAAAATAAAAATTCGAACACATACTGCATTTACACTACATTTTAATGTTAAAATACCAAAAACTTTCGTGCAGATCCTATTTTCCTAGATATTTATTTATTAATTATTGCTGCAGTTGGCATTCTTAAAATATTAAAATAAATAAAAATTGTAAAAATATTAAAATATTTAAATTTCAAATTGAATTGCAAATTTTTTCCTTGTAAGATAATAAACCCATTAATATTAAATTTAAATTGAAAAGTAAAAAAAAAAACAATTCAATTTTTTTCTCTTATTTTTTAATTATTAAAACATACACACTTGGAATTAATTTCAGACTAATTCAAAAAAACAAAATGTTTTTATTAAGAATTAATCTGGCCCCTAGGAAATATAAGAAACCAATTTTATAACGAAAAATTTACAAAAAAATTAAATTTAAAAATGAAAAATAATTTTCATAAATAACAAGACAAATTTACTACCAGTGACTAATTTGTAATGATTTTTGTAAAAAATAAAATAAATATTGTAAATAAAAATACGAAAATTTAATTATATTTAAAAAAAAAGAATTAAAGTTAAAGAGGGGTTCAATTAAAATTAGACGTATATTAAAGATTATTATCAAATAAGGGCTACTTTATTTCAATGCAACTTTAATTGTGACAGTCATAAAATCAAAAAAACTCGTATAAAATGGCAATCATTTGCATTACTTTGTTATATATTTTTATTTGACATAACAGCATTACGAAGTGACATTTTATTTATAAATTGAATTATCAATAAATTTCATAAAAATATTAAAGTAAAAATTCCACGAGCTCTGAAAAATATTTTGGTTCAAAATGTATTGAATTAAAACTTCTAAAAGCTTGTAGTCTATACTAATATAAGAGTTAAATCAAATAATTTTAAACATAGGCATATTAATTGTGCTTGATTTTGAAATTAAAAAAGTCAAGAGAATTGAGGTAATCTAAAGCATTCGTTTTACAAGGACCTATAATTATTTTAAAAAATATTGAAAATAATTTCAAAATTTCCATTGAATACCCTCTCATATTTTATTCTGTTGAGCAATTACACAATGAATAAAGAAAACTAAATATAATGGCATAAAACAAGATATTTGAATAATTCCATAAATAAAAAATAATAAAATATTAAAAAAAATAATAATAAAATTTAAATTTTATTTTTACTATAAAAGTTCCTTTTGTTGTTTTAAAATATTTTTATATTTTATTTTTAAAAAACACAAAAAATAGTATGAAATTAAACACATAAATTTATATAAAATAATTATATTAGTTATTAAATTATCATAATTAATTAAAATTACATTATAAAAACAACAAAAAAAATATATTTTTTTCATAGCTTTTAAAATAGAAAAAATCATTGAACATAATTTTCCTTATTTTCTTTTTGTTTAGTACGAGTATATAGATTAAACTTTATAATAAGCAAACCCTTTATTATTATTTAATTAATTCTGGACATATGAAAAGAAAAAATCTAATAAAAAAAATTATAAAATATTAATTATAATTAAATTAATTATAAATAAATAAAAAATTTAAAAAAATATAAAAAAAATATATAAACAAATAATTTAGATTTTTATTAGTACATATTAAATTTAAGTTGTTAAATAATGTAATTATACTGTAAGGAAATTAATTAATTAATTAATATTAATTTAATAAAGAAATAGAATTGAAATTTATTGTTTAAATTTTGTGGTTTAAAAAAGATTTCTGAATAAAATATTAAAAATCATAAAATATAATTGATAGCAAAAACATTTTTATAATTGTATAATTATTTTTTAATAAAAACAATTTTTAAAAATAATTTTATTATTTGAAATTTTCTAAAATTAT